AAAATCATCAAATCGTCTCGGCTGTGAGCAATGATCAACATAACATATAACTATATTTTGTTTCTTAAATCAAAAATAATTAGTTAAATCAACGTTTTCCGAAGGCGAATTTATATTTTTCTCGATTTTCCGAAGCAGATTTCACATTAGATTTAATCTGTCTCCTAAAAATAGACCACGATATGAGTTTCGATGATTTTAGTAATTCTTTAACTTTAATGATGAGGAAATTTATGAGGATTTTTGACAGATTCATTTTTGAATAATGAATTTGGCAAGATCGGATGATATTTATGTATACCTTTTAATCTTGATTGATGCTTTATTTTTAGTGCGCTTAGCAAGCGTCAAAGGCAAATGGCACAATTATTGGTGCTAAATGGCTTTTGTTGTATTTTTTAATAAGGATTTCAAATGGTTCTCAAGGCATTCTTCATATAACCTTTTTGCAGCAAGTAATTCTTGAAATGTCTCTTTAGAACCTTCTTCAACTAGACAGATTCTTGTCTTAATGAGGTTTTGATGGATGTAATAAAGGTAAAGCTATCTTGACCAGGGTTTAATGAATGTTGTTTTATAGAAGTCTTGTAGTAATTCATAAAACGTTAAATGTTACTTGGGAAGTTTGCTTCTGCATTAAGTGCAAATAGGTGCTTTCTGATTCTTTGATTAATTTCATGATATTTCTTCACAGCATGATTAACACAACTCATTTTTTTTTTATATCAATTGGTGATGTCAAAATACTAGATATAGATTTGTTGGAAAGTGCAATATTAACGCTTTGAGAATATTCGCCAACATTAGAGTCGATTGTTTCTAAAGATTCCTGACTTGAAACATTCATGTTGATATCTTGTTCATCGCAGTTCGATAACTCGTCGATACTTGATAGTTCGGTACGCTTAGAAAACTGTATACGACAAGAATCACACATTTTTAATTTACTAAGTTGGTTCTGTTCCACAAAACCCAGATCAACTAATTTCTGTATATTAGTATCCGTGAGATTCGGCCATTTTTCGAGCAACTTTTTTTAAACACGTTTATGCACTTATAATGAAAAGTATTCATAGTAACTGAAGTGGTAGTCTTCTGAATTACTGAACTTAAGCAGGCCACTTTCACAGATACGTAGCGTGTTATATTCTAATGTTGATTACGTGTCAGATTTGGCTTATATATGGACGTAGGTAATTCAAAACCAACCCACTTGGTACCATGAATTGGTAGCATGTTAGCATTTTAGCAACAAGTTTATACCTATGAGGTGCATGAAAAAGGTCGCATGGGTTTATTTCTATATTTTAGAAGACATTTAATATTTTGATGAGCCACCAAGAGCATTTTTATTGTAAAATTTTCTGATCTTTCAAAAAAAATATTGTCGGAACTGGAGAACCGCGAAATACATTTAAAAATGGTCAAAAACTACCAACATTTTGAAGATATCTACACTTTCAAACCGCTACATCTTGAAAAATAACTTGAGTGCCTTTTTTTTGTAAATTTGGTGTACTTTCATTATAAAAAGTCGAAACACTAATTGGACCAAGTTTTGAATATTTTTCCAAAAATTTGAGTTTTTTTTAAATCAGAACTTTTTTGTCCATAATTAATCCATCTTGACTTATAGTGCAATAGATGGCATTTTTATCCCCTAAAACATATCACAAAAAAAAATTAAAGATTTTATTTAAAATTAAAAAAAAAATGGGTATTTTTTTTTTCAAATAGTTTCATCCATTATCTGCAATATTGCCCAAGACACCAAACAGATTGGACCAAAAGTTTTCGAGCAAAATTTGATATTTTTGAATTTTTTTTTATATTTGTCAATAAGCCCTTTTTAAAAATAAGGCTGGATTCAAATTGACGATATGAAGATGCAAAATGGCATAGTCGGTCATAAGGAACGTTTCTGCAAATTTTCAACCAAATCAAAAAATACAAAAACTAACCGATTTGCGTATTCGTATGGAATTGCTCATTACTAAACATATTTTTATTTTAAAGTTTATCAAAAAATGCAAACTTTTATGATATTGGACAAAATGGACACTTTAAATTGAAAAAAAAAAACAAACGTAGCACATATACTTTTAGTAAATGCGCGGAGGCGAACCAGCCTCATGCTGAAACTTAACTTTTAGTAAATTTTTAAGAGCTGAACTAGCCTATGGCTAAAAATCTCTCTAATAAAGGAAAAAAAAAAATTAGTAAATGTATGGTCGTCAATGCTCATGCTCATGCTCATTTGTAGAATATCTTGGGATAAATCCCAGGCCCCTTTATACTTATTAATGAGTTTTAGAGTCACATTGCGTGCTCATCGTTGTCGGTGCCGGTTTTAAATGATTACAAAAACAAATCTATCATAGCTGGTTATGAAATGCCTTAGAGCGACCGTTTTTGCTTACTTGGCAATGGGTTTAATCTCAGACTCCTTCTCGTTCAAGATTAGTTACAGCGTTGCCAGATTGTTTTCATGATTATCGGTATCAAATGATAAGAAAAATCGGTATTTATCGGTATTCACTATTTTTTTTTTTGACTTAAATCGAAAGATGTACTTTCTATGTAACTCGGAAGAAACTTCTGAGAAATATTTGAATTAGTCTCTTAATGGTACCAACAAAACTGCCAAAGGAAGAATAAAGAAGGTCTTGTGGAGGAAGTTTGAAGGAAGTTCTAAAAAATGTCTAACAAACATCCAATGGGGATCTTCCAAGACAAATATTGAGAAACTCCTGGTAACATTTTATAGAAACTTTCGGAAAAAAATCCAGAAGCCAGAAAAGTTTGGAAATCGGAAGCCAATCCCGGAGGAGCCATTTCCAGGGGAAGTTAGGAGAAGCTCGGAAAAACCTTCCAATAAGGCAGAAAAAACCTACGGAGAGTGACTTATGGAGAAACTTCCAGAGGAAGACGAAATAAACTTCTGGGAGAACTCGATAGATACATCCGGTAGAACTTTCATTGCACTTCTTGGAGAAGACGGAACAAACTTCCAGGAGACACTGGGAGAATCTTCCTAAGGTAGATTGGATGAAAATTCTGGAAAAAGTCGGACGCCAGAGGACTTACGGAACAGTCGACTACTTCAAGGAGATGATAGGAAAATATCTGGAAGAAATAGATTTCTGGGGGATGTTAGCACAATAATCTCTGAAGTTCCTCACATGCTCAATTGATCCAGCAATTTTCCTAATATTCATAAAACATCCCTGAAAATTTCATAATGTTCCTGAAGTTTTCGGAACTCAGGAATGTTTGCACTTCGAAATATCTCATACTCGGAACTCCTTGAAAGTTCTTACAATTTCCCTAAATTTAATGGGGCTGTTTTGAAGTTCTCTGATCATCTTCGAAGTACTCGTAACCTCCTTGATTATTATGGAACTACTGGAAAATCTCTTATCTTCTGTAAAAGTCCCTGGATCTTCTTAAGGTCTTTCAATAATATTTTATTTTTTCAAATTAATGAACATCAGCATTAAAGTTCTCTGAACTTCCTGCTATTTTTTTAAAGTTCTCGAAACAGCCGATAAAAAACACAGAACTTTCCTTAAAATGTTGTCACAATTTTCTAATGTTCATATAACTTCCCTTACGTTACCAAAATTTTCATGAACATCTCGGATCTTAACTGAAGTTTTCTGAACTTATTTAAAGGTTCAGAAATTTCCTTGAATTGATCACTTTGTCAAGCAGTTTTGGCGTGACTATCTACCAGCGATTGCACAAAACTGGACCAACTAGTTTCTATTAATTTATGAAACGCATAAATGATGGCTACTTTTCTCGTGGTTCTAGAAGAAAAAATCTCAAAATAATGTTTTTTTTTTTTCAAAGTTCAAGTGGTAGTAAACGTCATTTTAAGTGCTCGAATGAAGTGGTTAATTTATTTGTACTAATGCTTCCCTAAAGTTATCTCAATCGATCATATCATTCGAGCAGTTGAAAATGACGTTTCCTACCAATCGAACTTTACCGTGGAACCATTTTTCTATATTTTTTCTTCTAGAACCTCGACAAAATAGGGTATTATTTATGCTAACCTGGAAAAATCTCGTATTCATGGCTACATGTTCTGATAATGGCTGGTAGAAGGTCGTCCCAAAACTGCTCGAAAATATTATTAATTCTCCTGAAACAAATGGAACTATCCTGAAAACCATGAAAATTCTTTGGAGTTCTTTGGGCTTGTGAAGTTTCCAAAATATTTCAGTTTCCTTAAGTTCATTGGAGTTCTCTGGGCTTTCCTGAGATTTCCGGTTTCTTGGATTTGAACACAAGTTGATGAAACTATCTTTAGTTTATCTGAATCTACCCAAAAGTTCAAACTATTCTGAAGTTTCAGAACTTCTGAAAAGTTCCTGAAATTTTCCTGAAACTAATGGAACCACAATAAAACTCTGGAACCATTTCTGAAATTCCGGAGAAGTTGAAAAAACTGACGGGAGGAGACGGAATAACCTTTCGAGCGAAGCCAGAAGAAGCTTCCAAGGGAAGTCGAATAGCTTTCTAGAAGGAATCGGAAAATATTTTACAGGGTAAGGTGGACGGAAATTCCTAGGGAAAGTTGGTAGAAACTTCGAAGGAAAGATTTCAGAAATTTCAGGAAGTTCAAAAATTAACGTTTTTATGGACCTATTTTTACACTGAATAAAAGTATTTCTCAATTTCCAGAAATTACTGGGATGGAACCATCAGCTGTTTCTCGACTTTTTGGTTACCAAAAACGGCAAAGAAAAGAGCATAAAGCATAATACATTTTTGAAGATGAATTTTTTTAGAGCAGGCTCAAAAATTGTAATTTTCAAAAAGATAAAAGTCTCTCACAATAGTTTCCTCTGAAAATTCAGTGCGGGCAGGCAGTAATCATTTTGAGTATTAATAAAAACAAAATCGGTATTAATCGGTATTGTAACTAAAAAATCGGTATTCTGAGAAACCTTATCTGTATATCGGTATCAAGTTAACCGATAAACCAGTATGTCTGGCAACGCTGATTAGTTAGTCGTTTTCTTTCTTTCGTACAAGTGCAGAGTCTTCGAACAAAGCGAGTTTCTTCAATGACCTTAATTGACCTTTTATTGCCTATTATAATGTTTGAGATCACCAGTTTTTATACATTGAGGATGATAGCTAGTTCCAGGTTTCATTTTTGTTGGTGATCTAATTACAGTTAATTTGGCAATATCGGCTGGCGGTCAATTATGCTCATGCTACTGTGTCAGTCTCGGAGCACCAATATTTAAACGAGTTTTTCATGATGTAATCCATTCATATAGCGAATTTGTTTATCATCCAGCTTTGAACCAGTCCCAACCCGTGCGAACCTGTGCTTATTGTCAGTGCAAACCTCAACCCGAGCCAGGTTACAAAAACAAACGTTCACACTGACGCTTTAACAGACAACAAACAGACCCAATCTTGATACCCGATCCAGGTTGGAATTGAATCAAAAACAAATTCGCTATTATTTCACAATTTTTGCAGACCCACCCCACCTATAGTTGCAATTTTTATAGTCTGACGGATTGAATTTTGGGAACCAATTGAGCTGTCAAATAGCTACGCAAACCAAGACCATCAGTGCGGTAGGGAAAGTTGGTGGTACTTTTTCAAATATAGGTCTCCAATATTTTGAATTGGTTCCGCTTCTTGATTGATAGATCGAAATTCTATCCGCCAGGCTATAAATATCGAGACTGTAACCCTACCTCCTAAAATGCTACGTCATTTATGCATGGTCCTCAAATAATTATTTTTAACAGTATGGCTTCAACGTCGTCAATGATGTTTTTTGTTTGTACCTAAATTGTATTTCAAATCAAATTAGTTATCTATTCAGAAAAACTACATTGTATCAGATCTCTTTATCTCCTCAATCAAACGATGCTGCGCACTTGGTTCCTTCAATTGCTCTTCGTGGTGTCTGGCGCCACAGGTAGAAATTGTACCGGTTTTCGTTCAGCCTGGAATAGATCCATGTGGGGAGATTGTTGGATAGCACCCAGATAGCCCCAGTCACATCCGTCTGCAATCAACCACCAAATGCAATGAAATACACGTTGTTATTAAAAATAATTACGGGGTAAATGCAACTCACACTCAGATCGGTGGGATAAATTAATCGCTCGTTATCGTGATGGATGATGTCATGGTTTTCTGCCGAGAAGTTGGTCTGTTAAAGAGGAAGCATTGATTATCAAATTATTCTTGGCAACTTGTAGCCGGTTTTTTACCCGTGTATTCCAACAACCGATCAAGTTACGGTTTACCTCAGCATAGAAGAGCACTTGCGATTCCGGATCGTAGTGATGCATAGTGGATTGAGCATTAATACCACGATCGCCGATTCTGTGGAAAAGATTCTCATACCCACCGGCATTTGCGAGGGCTTCATTCTGCAACACCTCCGCAAAAGTGATAAATTCCGATGTACTAACCATGGGATGATAGTATACCGGCTTCGAACGAGTCACTGGATCGCGATTGCCAACGGTGATCGAGAATATTCCATCGTCCCAGTTGAAACGTTGACCGGCAACGTTGAAGGCGGTTCTTTCCGGATCATGTTGAAATGAGCCATGGCGGAAGGACCACATCCGATTGGCCTCGAAGCTGTAGACGTAGATGGCCCCTTGCACAAGATCTGGAATGTAGGCGAACGATTTCCGACAATCCTCGGCGTCCACGTCGACAACCAGGCTAGCCATTCCAACGCCCTGCTGAACGATCGATTCCGGTATCTCGAAGGTACGCACCTTTCGGTCGTGGTTAAGACCGATAATCCACAGCTGGGGACGCTGCACTTGCATGGTGTTGTTCGGGTACTCAAGGATACCCGTATCGACGAACCACAATCGATCGCATCTGTCGACTGTGGTACGATAAACGGAAACGATGCGCTTGGGGTCAGCATGGTAATCACTCTGGAAAAGTGGAAAAATGTTCATGCTTCGGTTTGCCCTTTTTTTTTTGGTGGATCGTACATGCAATTGATTTATAATATACTCCGGATAGGCCGTGAGGGGTGGGCTCATGCCACCTTTCTGTTTATTGATGTTAACCACATTTAAGGTAGCGGGTACTCCGGGACGTCTCCGGGGAACGGTTATGAAAACGCGTCCTTTGTGGTGTGTTGCTCCCATGGGGATGTTGTTGTAGCTATTGAACGTTTCATCGACACTATTGTTTGGAGATGAGTATCCATCGAAGACGATATCTTTAGGTACTATAAACATAAATATTAAGGTTATGTAATTGTATGGAAAGTTTAAGATAATTACCATTAGGTTGTAACATATTGTCATGTGCCAGTTGTTTCCATTTAAATACTAGTTCAAATTCTCCCCCTCTGGTACATCTCAGTGCGATGGTTATGATGGTGATCAACCATAGTTGTTGATTCATTTGTCTGATTTCAGTCTGGAATTTTGTACTGAGTTAGGGTAATGCAAATATTTGGTTTTGTTTCATTTAGGTGTGTGTGTTCAGGACCGGGTAGAAGTAGTAATTGCAGAATCCATTTTCTGATTGGGTTAACTAATTTATTATGGATATTTATTTTATTTAGATTAGTCGTCAGTCCAGTACATAGAACCTGTGAGCTGTTTGTTTCAAGTAGATTTAAATCGCATGAGTCATTAAATTTCAGTCGATCGGCAGTACCTGAGCCAGTGAAATTGTTTAAAAATTGTAAATTATTTAAGTTGAGTGGAAGCAATAAAAATTCCATGTGATTGTGTCCTGAAAAGTAGTTCGGTATTGTTCAAGTGAGTGTGGTTTGGTGAATGACCAATTGACCGAGTGCTGGATAATTGCTACTGACAAGTAGGGTCCTTTCAAGGCCACATCCTGCCACTCCCGAGCCGTTACCTCAACAAGGTGTTTTCACTCTTAAAAAGGAAAGATCCATACTTTAAAGCATAAATAAGTGATGAATCCAATTTTCTAGCAGTGTCGCAATACATTCAACCTATTAATAAGCTTTTGTTTGGATAAAATCTTTAAAATCAGATATTTAAGAGCTGAACAAAAGGAATGTGAAATGTATGTATATAAGTTTATAAGTTGTTTATAAGTCCCATTAACATTCCAAAAATGTAAAAACTAGAAAATAATGGCCCCTGAATGCTTTAAAGTTAGGACCTAAATAAAGAATTAACAACCACAAAACTAACACTGAATTTAAATCGTTGAGAGGGCGTTGAAATCAAAAGCATGTATTCGGTACTGGATTAAACGCTTGACAATTTATTTATGGGATTCTGATGTTTTTGTGTTGTTGATAAGAGTGAAAATTTTCCTTTTTTGTGCATTGATTATGTCCTGTCCAATGGTGATGGATTCTTATAAAATCCTACACAAATATTTAATACATTTTTTTAGTTGAACTACTGATCGAGAACTAGCCAAAGGAAGATTTAAACAAATTAACGTTACATGTAATACTTTTCAGACATTGCTACACGTGGCCTAACCACCAAGACTTCTTCCTTTAGCGGAAATGCCTGTGTCATCAGTGAACAAAGAATTGTGACAACGCTGAGACAAATCATGGACGTCCGAAGTAAAATTTTATATAATATAGGCCCAAGAATGCTACCCTGAGGAACTCTAGCTCTAACAGGTAGTCGTTCAGATTAGGAATTTTGATAATTTACCTGCAGAGTTCAGTTAGTTAAATAATTTTAAACTAATTTCATAATACATATAGAGTAGAAAATTAAACTTTTTCAATTAAGCGATCCTTCATACCAAACACTGTCGAATGCTTTTTTTAGAAGAGCAACTCCAGTTGAGCAGCCTTCAGATTTGTTTGTACGAATTAAATTGGTAACTCTTAAGAGTTGATGAGTAGATGAATGCCCATGGCGAATTTCAAACTGCTCATTTGAAAAAATTGAGTTCGTATTGATGATAAGCATCATTTTATTCAAAATTATTTTTTCAAAAAGTTTACTCATTGAAGAAAGCAAATTTATTGGAGGGTAGCTAGAAGCTTCAGCTGCATGTTTATCCACCAAATGAAAACATCTGCTAAATAATTTTACCAAGTAAGACAAGGTACTCTCCGGGAGTGTTTTGATGAGGATATAAAAAATTCCATCATCGCCTGAAGCTTTCATATTTTGATTTTTTTAGTTATAGATCTAGATATTATAGACTTCGTCCAAAGCAGTCCCCCAGGAATCATCAAAAATATTTTCCCCAGAGAAAATATTCAGATAATTCCGAGCAACTTGATTGTCAATAGGACTAGTAAGACCCAAACTGAAATTATGGGAACTTTCGAATTGCTTTGTAAGTTTCTGAGCTTTTTCCGAATTTGTGTTCAAAATGGTACCACTTTATTTAAGCGCTGGAATAGGCTTTTGAGTTTTTTTTCAACATTTTTGTAAGTTTCCAAAAGGGTTTGAACTCGAGTCTAATTTCAAAACATTGTTTTCAAAAGTTTTGTTCCTCAGGGCAGAGAATCGCGTTTTAAATTGTTTTTGCAAATCCCGCTTGATAACCTTCATGGCAGGATTGCTTGTTCTTTCTCCTGCGGGCATTTTTCAGACGGATCAAGAGCTGAAGATCATCGTCTATTATAATTGAATCGAATTTAACCTCGCATATTGGTACTGAGACAGCTCTTGCTTCAACTATAGAAGTAGTCAGAGATTCATTCTTGCATTGGACCGCAGCTAGGTATATCGCATCCTCGGTTCATGCGGTCTCCACTAACATCCTCTGATGATGAATCCCACATAATTGTAAGTGAATCTTACATCCCCCGGTTGGGTGTGGAAATTGGAAGTGGCTACAACAATTGGAGGAACCTTTTCCTTTTTGGCATTAAGCCGGAAATTTTTAATCGAATTTTGCCTGGATGATGGATCATTCTCATTATCCGTAAGTATATCAAATTGATTGCTCAATTGAATTTCATCAGACCCCTGATCAAGCGATTGCCATTTTCTTTTGCGCTTAGGCGCCATGGCGGCAGAACCAAGTTTCTCTAAATCGACTTTCAAGCAGATTACTCAGAATCTACTAAGCATCTGAAGGATCGAAGAGGAATGTTCCAAGTCGATGACCAAGCAGTATTACCTCAGGTAGGGTCCACACAAGGATCGAAGGGGAATAAGAGTCAGACAAGGTAGAAATGTTACAGGTTGAGCACTGAAAAGTATTGTTTAAATTTGTTGTACCTTTAGGTAGCAGTAACACTTCCTTCGCCAAAAATCAAATAGATCCGCACGACAAGAGAGCACGATGCGGACTGAAAAGCATGTACTTCTTTAAGTGCCCGTTGCGGCATAACAGTCCCATTAGTATTTTTTGTGAAAATGAGTTATTCATTGGAATCGATTGTCAAGTTCCATCACTATACAATGTAGTTGAAAAGTTTCCTTCTTTGTTCAGACAAGTCACGAAAAAATACCAAAACTATGTTGTCGCTTCCATAAGATTCAAATGGAGATTCAAATCTTCAGCAGCGTTTTTCTCAGTTGGCTGTTTTAACGAATGGGACAGTAATAGCCTTGATAACAATAATGTGATACATACTAAGATTTTGTTTTCGTTTTCGGTAAATTTTAAAGAAATCAGAACAGCTGAACGTTCGGTAAAACTTTGACCTTCATTTTAAAGTCCATTGAATTAAAAAAATAATTTAAAAACATGTTCAACCTTGTTACGATCAAATCTTGTCATTTTAGTGTTGATTTAGTTTCAAAGTAACTGAAAAGCAATTGAATTAAATTGCATAAACTTTACCGAACAAATCAGCTGTTCAGATTTCGGTAAAAATTACCGAAGTCGGGCGAAAATTTCCAAGTGTGTACATAATTCACGAAGTTACTCTTTTTGTTATGCGGTCAATCTTTGTCAGTGACGAAAAAATGAACGAGTTTCATTTATTTCATTCACAATATTCAAATGTTTATACATTCTAGGCCTCCACTGATTGGCATTTTTTGAACTACGGAACTGAGCGGTAAAAGTTTAAAAATCATAGAAAATTAAAAAAAAATTAAAATTTATTCCCAACTTGTACATACGTTGTTCAGTTAACCCCATTTAAAGGCCGGAACAAATCACACGTTTTTCTTTTGTCACTCGATGCTCGCACCAGTCGAGGGGGGGATAAAAACTAAATAAAAAATAAATAAAACATTCAAAATTCGTTTTACATTACATCTAAACCACATATTTCAAGCGTTTACATTACTTCTTAGCCTTCGCTTTAGTCTTATACTTCTTTGAAGTCGAGGTTTTTGACAATAATGCGCAACCGAAGCCACAAATGTTGACTTTATTATGTGTAACACTCGGGTTATCAACAAGACATTCCGCGCATAAGTTTTCGTATCTTTTCAAGGAACATTGGTAATAATGTAGATGAATAGGATCATAGCAATACTAAATTTTGGGTTTTGATAAATTCCGGGTAAATCATCAAGCGGAATACACAAACGTAATAGTTCTAATAAAAAAAACGTTCTGTTTTCGATGGTTCCTCCTTATTCAAATATAACATGGCAGAACAGGAACCCCAAATTGATATGAAAATACCTACTTTGTGAATTTAAACCCAGTTTTCACAACAGTTGTGCGTGCTTCACAAAATCTAACTAGAGGTATGGATTCAGGAAGGTCTATTCAACAAAATCCAACCCCTAATATTCAAAGGAAGGAGCCAAAATTCATCTTGGCTGAGCAAGAAAAACAAAAATAAGTACTTTTTTTAATTTAAACTTGAATTCAGCAAGGTTCATTCTATAAAATCCAAGTACAACTTTCAAGGACGGTCTCAAAATCCAACTTAGCCGAAAAGGAAACACAAATTTCTAGAAATATACTTTTCGAATTACAAACCCGGTTTAACCTTCACATATGGATTCAGCAAGGTCCATTCAATAACATACAAGCAAGGTTGCAAATACTCATTTCAGCTAAAACAATGTTTTGTTTTTTTTTTTTTAATTATGAAATAATTAGATGCCATGATCATATTTTGAATTGGGAGGATACAAGAAGAGGTTGCAAAGAATGTGTTTGACATATTAAACCTGTTTATTTCACTTCATGAGAGTCACAATCAGCGATTCATGAGAGTCACACACTCACTCACTCACTCATTCAACGATAAGAAAATCGCTGATTGTGACTCATAGAAAGCAAAATTTACAAGTTTTATGTTTCATACGCATACTTTGTAACCTCTTCTTGTAAGTTACAAGTAAAACATGCCATAATACCAACAATCAATTCGAAACTAACGATTTTAAATTGGCTCACTACTTGACTAGCCTATTGGTCCCAAGCAAACGATTAACGTACCCCATTCTAGTCAAAATTCTAGTACTACGCGTTTGTTTTGATTCGCTATGAAGGTTTGACAGATAAAATGAGGGGTTCGTGGATTTTCCTATAGTTATAAGATAGTTAAATCACTTCAGGAATGTTCAGACTTACACAAAATATAATTCAATCACTCAACAGAAAAGGACTCCCTAAGGAAGGTATTGAACCACTTCAGAAAAGGTTGAACTCCGTTTGAAAAATTTAAACTAAAAAAGAGTCGGTTCACTTCGGAAAACTCTCTACACTAAGCTAAACAAGATTGTGTCCTTGGCAAATGCTAAAACAGTTAACGAAAATCTGAGGCTCACTTAAAAAAATGTCAAACCCGTCCTAACAAGTTTGGATTCAGTTCGGAAAAAGTTGAATCAATGCAGGAAACCTTGGATTCATTTATTAGAGAGATGAAATCAACTAATATGGCCTCACTCCAGAAAATGCGAAACCAATTCTTTAAAACTTGGGTTCGGGATATGTTGGATCACTTCAGGAAAGCTTTGACCACTTTAAAAAGGATTGAATAACATAACAGAAATGTTTAGACTCAGTTAGAAAAAAATGTTGATGACTCATTCGACTCAGTTTTGAATCTGCTTTGAAGTATCAACTCAATTAGGAATTTTCTGAATCGTTTCTGATTTGGTCTCACTTCTAAAAATTTTAAACCAATTTTGAAAAGAATGGATTTAACTCGGAAATTGTAAAATCACTGTAGAAAATAATTGCATCATAAAGTAGCATTGCAGCAAGTTTGTAAGTTAATTTTTTTAGATCGAATGCGAAAGGGCGACTACAGTGGGCTGGGCACATCGTAACAATGTCGGATAAAATATAAATTTGACGATTTCATTGACTTCCTATGTGTTTAACCGTCATTTGATAATTTACCGGCTTTTTCTGTTGTTAAAAAACCGGGTAGGGTAGGATGGTATAAAACACACCCAATTTGAATTTCTACGAATTCCGGCTTAACATAAATCCGGAGAACTTCGAGATTAGGGCGTAATTGCTTTTGTAAACAAACACGTAATTTGTCAGTTTCTCGCGAATCAAAGCTCAATCTAAAAAACTAACAACACAAACACCTATCCAGCTTTCCATGCTCGGTAATGGCGGCCTGTTTGTATGAAGAAATGTATCCTTCACTGTGCATTTTGACACTAACTGGAGGGCGTATGTTGTTCCATTTTCTTCTGTCCTGGGAGAGGGAAAGGGAGGGGTCAAAATCCGAACCTTCAGATAGTGTCAAAAAGCACAGTGAAGGATACATTTATTCATACAAACAGGCCGCCATTACCGAGCATGGAAAGCTGGATAGGAATGATTCCTTTATCATTTGGTATAGTTTGTTCGCGAGATAGTGCTTTTGTTCGCGAGAAATCAGCGATTGACGTGTTTGTTTACAAAAGCAATTACGCCCAAATCTCAAAGTTCTCCGGAAATACAATACTGATGGGCAATCCAAGTAGGTGATAGGACAACTCTGCTGCAAAAGTTTCACAGCTGTCGATTGTTTTTTTCCTTGATTTGTTTTCCGTCGACCTTGTTTTCCGTGCTGAGCACCAATGCTACTGACGCCAGGGAGGCAGCTCCCACACCAGGACCCTACCTATCGACCCATCAACTCATGAACCGGGAACCGACGGATTTACCTCCGCGTGATCAGAGCACTTTAGAACATCCCGGTGGCGCCGACAGGGATTGAACCCAGGCCTGCCGGGGTGGGAAGTAATCACGCTTACCACTACACCACCGGCGCCGCTATCTGTCAATTGTCGCATATAAATAAAATAAATTAAATCCAAAAAAGCACCCTTCCGGTGTAATTTTTTACAACCTTTTGGTAAGCATATTTAAGAAAGTGTTTATTCCATCTTTGTGTTGTATGATGATACATCTAAATTTAATGCTCTGGGGCATGTCACACCTTTGGTGAGTGGTGTACTATCCGTTTAGAATAGAGTATAAAGTATCTTTGTTGTGAGAGCATATTGCTCCACCTAATGGATGAACCCAGAATTTTAGTTTTGCCGAAAAAAACTTTACTTCTATGTTAACTGCCACTGATGAAAAATAAATGATTACAGGTTATTTCTAATACCCAAAGCAACATATATACGTGATTATCCCGTTAATTAAAGTGAAAACGGTAAAAATATAGCTACTTTTCCTTAAGGGGGCCGTACCTGTTTACCCTAAACTTTTAGCGACCTCGGTGACCTGAATTTAGTGTTTACATGGGGAATGTACTTCAAAATTGTGGCTGCTATTTTCTTGAAAACAACTTTTTCATATAGGACTTATATGTGATATAAGGCAGTATGCTCATGCCAGAATGCGTAAAACAAAATTCCAAATATATACAGTCAACTCTCCCGAACTCGATATTCAAACTAACTCGATGGAAAACCAAGCTACTTCGATCACTACCATACAACTTTCCAAAATTTACCTCCGTAGGTCGATATCCTCCCTAACTCGAAGGTTCTTTCAATATTTAGTAAAGGAGAGTTGACTGTATTAGATTTTGAACAATATCTCAACAATTTGTGACTTTTTATCAAATCCAACGGTAGTATGGAAAGGTAAATAAATTTAGAAGTCATTTTTGACAGAAATGTTCCATTTTTTGTTCAAACCCGATCAAAAAGAGAGGTAAAACGCGGGTTGTGCTAAGTAGGACGGAAATTAGATCAACCTAGTGTTCGTAATCTTTGTTTTGCAAAAACGAAGGTAAATAAACCGAACGTTTAGTTTATACAACCCAATCACCTACTCATCTGATGCATGTTATTATCTTGGTGGAAAAAAAAAACTTTCTTAACACTTTTTACGCCTTACACCACAACCGGTGTACCTGGATAGAGTTGGTTTTTTTTTCAATGTTGTCACAATTCTACTCTGTGGGATTTCGAATCCATGGGATCGTAGTTGGCATGTACAGTTTTGTACAAACATTGTTAACCACTTTTCACTCAGGTTGTGGAACTTGGCAGTCGATGGAGAAAATCTGATTTCACTGAAGCGACACAAAGAGTAATCATTACATTTGAATTGACACAAAGAGGTTTTTCATTGATCCAGTCCAAGATGAGCAGTAATAATTTCTCACTTCGTTTTTCTGACATTGGAAAAGCAATTCGCTTAAAAAGCAATTCGCTTAAAAAGCAAATCTACTGTTTGATACTCCTAATATACAGCTACCATACATGAACGATGTCAGAAACAGTGCAACTAGGTCACATAAGCACATAGGATTGATATCCCGAATAGGTTGTTAGGCACATCTTATGGTTATTTTCTATTGGTTGTTTAAAGATATATAATTTTTCGGCAATGTCCTTTGGAAATTATTGCTCTGTTGAATTGTTACAACATAAAAAGAAGAAACGTTGTCAGGAAAAGTTTGATATTTCAGAAATGTGTTACTAGAAGTTGCTTGATAAAGCAGGATTTCTTTTAATTCACTGTACAATAACACTATAGTTATCACTGATGATACTACACTCTGTAGAAACACCCATCACGTTTTTCTTCAAGCATACTCACTGGCTATAATAACACAATCGATTGCTCGATCAAACACACTGAGCAAAGCTCGTTCAACGGTTACCGGTAAACTAATAGTGTTTGCATCTGCAGTCGATGATTATAAGGACTCTCGATGCATCTGGTGAGGTTGTATACATGGGGAGTAGCAATATTTTTTTCCTCTACAAGAAAGATTAGCATTCGCAGGGAACCTCAACGACATGATGTTGTTTATTGTTGTTAGCAACGCTTGCTAATCTTAATACCGCTCTGACTCAATTTTCGATCGCTTGATTTTGTAGAGAAACTTTTATTCTATTATTTCACAAGAAATGCATCAATAGAGGTGGTAAAGTCAAGTCAACTTGGACTGTCAATTGTCGCATGTGACTACTCAATGATTTTTACAGTAGACTTAAAGTTCGAGCTTATAAAAAAAAAATGAGGAGTTGTATTTCTTTGTAAAATATTCAATTTAAAAGTGAATTCTATGAGCTTTACCGAATGTTAGGGTAGCAACCATACAAGAAAAATGATCTTGTAATACAATTTTTGAAATTATATCAGTTCATATAGGTGCTCATTAAAAAACTCAGATTTTGCGTTTTCAAAATGTAATAAACCACTATTATTTATTTAAATCTCTTTGTTCAATCAAACAAACGGTCAACATAAGGATATAAAATGTTGTTATTAATGTCTTGACGATTCGTACTAACGAAATTGTGGAAACTTTAATGATGTTCTATTGATCTCAGAAAAACTAGATCTAGAGATCTTTGGGGAATTCCAGAAATCTTAAGGGGAAGACCCAGAAACTTTAGCCCAGACTATTGAATTGGTTTAAAAATCTATAAGCGTGCGTTTAAACAAATTCAGGATAGTTCCATGAGGCAGGGTTGCAAGTGAACCAGGAAAACCAGGAAAACCGGGAAAAAGTCGGGAATTTATTTTCACCAGGAAAAACCGGGAGAAAAAACCAAGAATTTCATAAGTCCACCAGGAAAATAATCTTGTTTGTATAATTTAAATAAGTTTTAAATTTTATGTATGTCAAAGTTTCTTTTTATAATCAGGTAAAAACTAACCATTTTGTTCAAGCTCAATCTTTCACACAACTAAACATTGATGAACAAAATTTACCCTGAGAATTTCGTAAATATATTTTGTATTTATTTTTAATTTAATTTTGTTCTCGAATCAATTGCATGTATGATTTGTGCTTAATTGATAGCATACTTAAGCAGTGCCGACGCGTAACTACTTTGAAGTACCTGTTCAACATGTTCAATAAAAAAGTTCTATACCTAAAAACTTTAGATAAGGCCTTCGAACTTCATGCAAGTTCTACAAAATACGGGAAAGTCTTACAAGTTTCAGGAAAATCCTGTGAACTACTGTGATGACCTACGGTGGTCAGGAAATCTCTCCGAACCTTCAGAGAAGTTCTATAAATTTCAGAGAAGTCCTTTAATCTTTGGGGAATATACGAATTTTACAGAATTTTCTACAGATTTAATGTAACTTCTACGACATTTAGGCATTTCTTAAAACAAGGATAATCTTATGACATTTATGGATTTTTTACGAGCTTCAGAGAAGTCTTCAATACTCTTGGGAAGTCCTTTGAACTTAACATAGTTCTCCACCCTCAAAAAAGTTCCTAGAACTTCCGAGAAGTCGAATGAACTACAGGTAGTCCTACGAAATTCATGGGGGCTCTCCAAACTTCAGGGAATTTCCAAGAAATCAAGAAAAGACCCACAAACTTTTGGAAAACCCTCCGATATTTAAAGCCTTATGAACTTCAGGGAAGCTCTTCTAAATTTAGGGTTCTCATATATTCTGTTAAGTCCTTCAAACTTCAGGGAAGTCCTTAGATCTTAAAAAAGTCCTTCGAGCTTCGGGGAAGTCCCATGAAATTCAGGCAATACAAACTTCAACGGAAGGGTTCCTTCCATTCCAAAGGTTAAGGAAAAACCTTAACGCTTCAGGGAAGTTCTACGAACTTTAGGGAGTTTCTATGAACTTCAGCAGTCAGTCTTTTTAATATTAAGAGTTATTAAACCAGCGTTGTTTATGAAATCTTTTAATCATATGATTTTGAAGTCAAGTTTTAATCAAAATTCCGCTAAATAAGATCCTTAATCCTTGACAATTTGCGGAACATTTAAACAAACTGGAAATCCGTAAAATTGTTAGAAGCAAGGAGTGTTTAAAGAGTCCTCATTCATATCACACTTCACACCTTGAGATAAACTAGCCCGTTAGCTAAAAATCTCATTAATAAAGTTAAAAAAATCGCAGTTTCAAAAACAGAAATCTCAAGATTTAGGGGCTTATAGATCTCTAAATTTCAGACATTAGATAGGGCTCCACGCTAGTCCGTCGTATCTAAGCTTTTCTTCGTCATACACCTCTAACATCGCTCATTTTACGGGTTATTGCAAATGTTTCAGTGTCAATCGTAATTAATCTTGTAAGCAGAGATGTTTTTGCACATATAACGGAAATAGGCGCCATGATACGACGAAGTAGCGCGGCTCCTTACTAGCTTCTTTACAGAAAACAATCAGATAAAGATGAACCTTATACCTTGGTTTGTGAAATTTCGCATTGCGCGAAGAATGATGGTACAAGGATTAACCTTATTTTTTTTATTAAAATTTTTTAAATGCATGGTTTTTAAACCCAGGAAATTTTTAAATCATTGACCAGGAAAACCAGGAAAAACCAGGAATTTCAAAATGGAAATTCACTTGCCACCCTGATGAGATGCTGAAATAAAATCGAGAACCCATAATATTTTCCGAAAGATTCAGACTTTCAAAAAATTTATGAAAACTTCAGAAATATTTCAGGAACTTCACAGAACTCCAGAGAATTCCAGGGAAGTTTAAATGTGTTTACGGGAATTCAATTTATTTTAAAGCAGAACCGAGATCTTCATTAGAGTTGATCGTTTTAAGGAAGCTCTGAGAACATCAAGACAGATCAGAGAATAAAAGGGCTGTTAAAAAAATCAGAAACCGGAATTTTCGGAAAATTTGGTTTGCTCAGAGAAAATACCATGGAAATTTCAAGATCTAAAAAAATCGAAAATTTAGCTAAGTTGATTAGAGAACATCAACAAAGTTCCATTAATTAAAAAAAAAGCGAAAACTTTTAGCATGCACCGATATTTTCAAGAAATTCCAGAGAATTTCTAAGAAATTTAGATATTTTTAGATTGTTTCATTATTTTCAGTGACGTTTCTAGTACTTCGAGGACGATCGGATAACATCAGAAAAATCACATTAACTTAAAGAAATTTGCAGCGACTTACAATGAGTTCCTTAGATTATGGGATATTCCGAGAATTCTATGATTGATCCGAAAACTGTTGAAGCTTGAACATTTGATCAATTTAGAGGAATTAAGGTAAGCATAGAAAACTTCTTCCAGGGAAAATTAGTGATGTACGGAAAAGCTCCGTGAGCTAAACTTTATAAAACTTAAGAAAAATTGTAGAACTTAAAGGCAAATAAATCAATTCCAGTAAAATGGTGGGTTCTTTAAAAAAAAAATACTAAAGCAGATTGAAGAAGTTATAAATTAGTTTCTATAATTTGACGTTCAGACAAATCTTTATAACTTCAAGTGAAAATCCTAGAACTATATTAATTGTTTCGCTGCGGAAGCCCAAAGAAGTTCCTTAAATTTCAGAATAACTTCGAAAACTTCACAGAAGTACAGAGATCTTCAGAAACATTTCGAGAACTTCATAAAAGTCTATGGAACTTAAGGAAAGATCCGAGAACTTCATGGACATTTCGGGAGCATTTCAAATAATTTTAGTAAAGCTCCAAAAACAAAGGGAATTTTAGTGGAGTTCAGTTCCATTAGTTTCACTAAATTAGCGGAAAATTTCAAGAAGTTCCCAGATTTTCAGAGAACTTTAGAGATGTTAAGAAAATTATTGAGGTTTGCACATAATTCCAAAAGTTCACGCAAGCTTAGACATTTTTAGAGCAGTTCAATTAAATTCATGGTAGTACAAAAAGCTTCATAAGAACTGCAAACACTTTAGAGAAGTTTCGAGAACTTCGAAAAAATATTGATCTCGCTAATAAAGCTCTAAATAAAACAAAATCAAGAAAGATCAGATATCCTCAGAGCAGAGATACTCCAGAGCAGGGAAATTACATAAATTATAAAAAAAGTTGTGGAAACTTTAGGAAGTCCGAAAAAGTTTAAGAGATGTTAAAAAAATGATGAGAAGTATTGCGAGCATCAGATTAGATTCTCAAACAAAAAACTTCAAGGCAGTTTAACTAACTTTAGGAATATTTCGGAAACTTTTAAGTAGTTATGAAGACCTCAGAATAGTCCATTCCATATTCAACGGAGATTTCTCATGAAAATTCGCTTAAAGTTTACTATCTTAAGCTTAGGCTTCACATGAAGTCTAAAATTGCAGATTGCAGTTGATGTTTTTCTCATGATTTTTTTTTCCCAAAACTCCCGTGGAATGAGGTCCTTAGAAATTATATTAAAATTCCATTAGCCTTAAAACTGTGCAAGGAATTTGACTGCAGATTCTTGAAAATTTTATAAAGTATTATAACTTTTCAGTTCAGAATTTATAAAATTTGTGGGAAATATGTATATTCTAGAACTAAAAAAAATCATTTGAAGCCTCTGAATTTTAAAAATGCATTTGTTACTGAAGATTAATCCATTCTGCATCTATAAAGTTCAATGTGTGAATGAAAATAACTAGAAATATTAAATGTTTTTATTTTAAAATGCATTCTTAGTAAGAACATTATTAAATTTCATGAGTAATAAGATTCCATGATACTTCCCGGTATTTTTCAGGAAAAATAAAATTCCCTGCGAATTTACGGTTTTCAGGTTTTTCCAGTTAGTAGAAGCTTGGAGGTTTCTAATCTAACCTAATCTAACACAGCCAGTACGAGAAAGCATCCTGGAAAATGATTAGGTTAGATGAGGTCTAATCATTTTTCTTGTCTAATTGATGTTTACAGCATATCTGAGATCTATATATATAAAAATGAATTTCTGTCTGTCTGTATGTCTG